GTTCAGATGTAAGAGATAAAGATATTTCTATCCAAATATTTTAATTACAGATTTTGGATATTAATAGTAAGATAATAGAATAGGGTCTTCTGAATAAAATTGAGTATAAACTTTGTATGAATTCACAAATTAATTATGACTAATTTGATTATAAACTTTTCAAAATTTTTCATATTACTTACATTTAAAGATAATTTTTTATTTCTCTTCGAACAATGTAATAAATAATTTCAATTTATTTTTTTAACAATCTTTATGTTTTCCTTATTTAAGAAAATTTGAATACCCAATAAAATTGATTTTATGTATCCAAATATATATATATTTAGTATTCATATATCTAATATTAAAATGTAATTATAGTTAATATATTGGTTTATAAAAAGGATAGCCCAGAAATCATGTTTCACATTAATTTTGAAAATTTACCTTCATAAATTATCATGTATTAACTTCTTAATAGTTTATGAAATATAATTATAATGTTATTTATATTTGAATTTAATCTATAGATGATCATCATATATACTTTCATAAGCTTAATTTCTTTTTTGATCATTCTTCTTCCTTTAAAACAGTTGTGTAGTATGGAGTTAATTACTTAATTATTTTAACAAACGACTATTAAAATATTATATATTATATTTTTCTATCTTTATCTTAATTATATCCTTTTAAATGTAACTTTCAAAAGCTTTAATGAATAATAATCATTTTGTGTCTACTGAAACTTAAAACTTTAATTAATATGAATATAATTTTTGTATTAAGTTTTTATTTCAAATGTCAGAATTTATAAGATTGATATTTATATTAAGAAATTATATTGAAATTTCTAAGCTCAATAATATAATAATTAAAAATTTAATTAAAAAAATGATTGCAAAATAAGTTTTAAATAGATAGTTAGAATTTTAAATTTAAGAGATAGAGTAATATTTAGATGTATTTATTGATTATTTTAATCTATTAGTCATCGTTTGATAATATCAATAATTTTATAGATTAAATATTCATTAAAGATTCTCTAATTTCTGAATTAAACAATTCCAAATTAGAATTATAATTATAATTACCAAAAGTTCCTTAATTTAATTTAATTTTTTAATCTGAGTTATAATCAAATATTGTTTAAGAAATAAAACCATTAATCAATTATAAAACCATACATTAAGTTCAAATAAAATAATCATCAGATTAAAAACATTAATAATCATTAATTTAATCATAATAATCTTAATTTAAATAATCAATGGATCCTAAGTCTTAATTCAATTCTAAACCATTTAAATATCACTTAATTAAACATAACTCTATTAAGTAAAGGGAAGTTTGTTATACAATTGCTTTTAATAAAGATTGTTCAATTTTAGCTATTGGTTGCAAAAAATAAATAAAAATATATGAATTTAAGCAAGGATTGTTAAAATTAATACAAGTATTAAATGAGCATAAAGATAATGTATTTACTTTAAATTTCATGAAAAAATCCAATTAATTTATATCTGGAGATTGTGTTGGATCTATTTTAATTTGGTCAAACAATATTAATAATTAATTTAATTGCTAATAAAAAATTTAAGGACATAATGATGCTATTCGATGTTTAATTTTGAATACTAATGAAGATATTTTAATATCTAGTAGTAGTGATGAAACTATTAAATTTTGGATTAAACAAAATGAATGGATATGTTAATAAACTATCACAAATCATACTAATTGGGTTGATTAATTAAGTTTAAATGATTAATAAAATTAAGTTATTTCTTGTGGAAGAGATAAGTAAATATTAGTAATTGAATACTCGAAATAAAATTTAAAATGGATTGTAATTTAAAATATTCTAGTTGAATATAATGGAAGAAGATTATGCTTTATAAACAATAATTAATTCACATTTTAACCAAATTAGGGCAATTTAATGCATGTTTATGAAATGAATAGTGTAACTAAATAGTTTACTAAAACTAAAGATATCACTGTAAATCAAAATTATGATGATTGTGGATTATTTCCATAATAATTTATTAAATAAAAATAATTATTAGTGGATAAGCATCATAAATGTCTCAATTTAATCAGAAAGACACAAAATGATGAATTTAAAGTTGAGTAATCTATTTAATTTGATGATTATTGTTTATATGGGTAAATGAGTGACGATGGAGAGTATTTGATTACTTGGGATAAATCATCTAAAGAAATATAAATCAGAAAATATACAGAAGAAGAATGAGGATTGTAAAGATTTTATTGTTTGTTAATTAATATTAGACAATAATTGATTTCTAAAATATTATAATTACTTCATAAGAAACAACTTGACTTCTTTTTAGACAAGCTAAATTTTTATTTAAAAATTTATTCATTTCTTTTTTTTACCATAAAATTTGAGTAAAATTTCATGTTGTTTTTAAATTTTGATGCTAAGTTTAGAATTGTATTATAATTAAAACCTTAAAATTAAGATGTAGAAATTGAATCAATATCAGAAGTAACATGATTTAGTTTTAAACAAAAGGAAAAGATAATCAGATTTATATAAGAGGTCATATTGAATACGATAAATTAGAGCAAAATGTTATTTAAGATTTTTAGATAAGACAGAATAACACTATTTTTCAATTTTTAAATAAATTGAAAAATAGTGTTAATTAGCAGACATTGTAAAAAAGCATTAGAAGATTTGATTTGGATCAAAGAGTAAAATGTAATTATAATTAATAAAGGTGAATAAATAATAAAATAATAAAGCTAAATAAAAGATAGTAACTGTTTATAGTCAACTTTGTATTTATAAATTTTAATATAAATTTTTAAAGAATTGCGCATTGAAAATTAATTTGTTTATAAACTTTTGTATTTTATAATAGATGAAAAACCTAAGAATAGAAGACCATATAAAAGAAAAATTAAGAGGCTCTTAAAGTATTAATATAGTTCAGACTAATTATTAACATTTTAGAGTGATTGTAAGAGTTACTCTTAAATAAATTTATCAATTGATTTTTTCATAATAAGTTTCAGAATATTATTCCGATAAAGTAAGCCATATATAATCTTATTATGCTTGATGATCAATAAATCAATAGATATAGAAAAAAACTCAATTTAATTTAAATTCACTACAAAATTACTTATTTTAGAACGGATAATGAATATACTCAATTTTCAAATAGTTGTTTGTAATTAGGGTCTACATATATGATCTAGTATTTATTTATTTTAAATATCATAATACTTTATAAACTTATAGTGTAGTAAAACTATTTTTCTATCAAATAAAGTATTTTATCCCTTATAAATTTAACCTTTATTCTTCAAGTATACTTCATTATTTGTTTTCAGTACTCAATTTTATTAGAAAACTTAAAAACTCATATAATTTTTCTCTTTATATTCAAGGCTATAAATCTTTGTTAAATCTTCATCTTTATCTATCCTTTTTTTCTGTTGAATTCTTTAATTCGCTTTCATTTGGAGCTTTCTAGTGTATTTCATACTTTTTACCATAAGATGAGCAATTTTCAAATAATCAGAAAAATTATTTTTCAAATTAATGAGATGCCCATTTTAATAAAATTGCTCCCCAATTATATATTATATATAGTATGACCCATATCTATTCTTTACTAACTTAGTTCTCTGAAACTTATTTAACTTTGCTTAGTGTTAATATTAATGAGAATACATCACAAATATATATTCAATTTAATCAATTTTGTCTGCTTCTATTTTTTATCTTACTGAAATATCAGAAATCAATTTTAATTATTGTCTCTATATTGTCAAAAGGATAGACCAATTTGTAACATTTTAATAAATGAATCTACATGAATCTTTTCTTTTTTAATTTTATTATTCTTATAATCTACAACATTCAATAAAAGATTAGCAGATTTCACATACTTCAAAATAATGCTAATTTAAGGATATTCTACTATATTCCAATAAATGATTGAATGCAGAAATTAATCCATAATGTTAGTTAGCTTTCATTTATTTAATCTTGGAATATAAAAAAATTAAAATTTGAATTTATTTTTTCCATTCAACTAAATTAAATTAAGTGGATTTTCGAAAAATTTATAATGGGGATGCGGTAACATTTATTACAGATAATGTGATGGCAAAATAAGGTAAAATGATTGCAGTATATTAATTATGACATAATAAGAAATATAAATAATAATTAACAAAAATTAAGTTTTTTTTAGCAATTCAATATAAATTATTAAAAATATGGAGAGAAGCTTCAAAAATTCCAATAGTTTAAAAATCATTATTTTAAAAATACTTTCAGATTGCAAAAATCAGTTACAAATATTCACTATCAATTGTGTAACTTTTGATTATCAATTAAAAATTCATTGCTTGTTTTTTATATTTTAATATTAAATCAGAAAACTCTTTTAAATCAAAAAAAAAGTTATTTCATTATTAACAAAATTATGGATAAAAAATATCAAAAGTTAGAATGATTAAGTTTAGAATTAATTGAATATCCAATTTTGTCGAAAATGTTGCACCTAGATGATATTTCTTATTCTAACAGAAAATAATTTTGTAATTTTATTTATATGTATTATTGAATAATATTTGACTCATTATTATTTATTAATTAATTTTTCACATTTAGCTAGAGATATAAATTAATAAAAATACCTTTGTCATTTTTGGATAATGAAAAATTTGGATTGATTTAAATAGACTTTTCATAATAATTAATTGCTTCTGAATATCTTTATAATGATTGTAAGCATTTACCTATATAAATATAAATATAAAAAATCTCTTAAGTATAAAGAGTAACAACTATTTGGTTTACAATTCAATGCTTGGTCAATAATCTAAAGAGCTTACTCATATTTACCCATTTCGTGTAATGATTCACCTATATTAGAAATGAATAATTACATTTTTTTTATAATGAATCGATATGCTTTGAATCAATAGACAAAGCATTATCAGCCCATATAATTGCATCATTATAATTACTTAAATAATATAAACACGAGGCTAATACATTTATCTATAATTTGTATACCTTTTATAAATAATGACTTAAAATGTTTTGAATCAATAGACAAAGCTTTATCAGCCCATATAATTGCATCATTATAATTATCTAAATAAAATAAACTTCTGGCTAATACATTTATCTATAATTTTTATACCTTTAGTAGATAATGAATCTAAATGTTTTGTATTAATGAATAATGCAGCATCGAAGAGTTTTATTGCTTCCTTATATTTACTATCCCAATATAATTTATAACCTAAATAAATCATATCAATACCTTATTTATATAATTCTTCTACTTTTTATTTTTCTTGTTCTTGTTCTTATTTATTTTATTAATTATTATGTTATTGCTTTAGTTTCAAATCTTTAATTAGTATTTTTAATTAATTGACCATATTATCAGAACATGTCTCTAGTTCTTGTAATAAATCTATTTTAATTTCATCAAACTAAATTATTTAATCTAAAGCTTAATTCAATTGCTTTGCATTTAATTGTTACAATCTTTCTTTAGAAAATTGAAATGTTTTTCTCAATTCTTAATTTAATTCTATAAAGAGTTCCCTTATTTCTTCAACCATCGAACACAATTTTGATATTAAATTTTCACTTTCTTGTTCAATTTTATGAAAAAATTCAATTAATTCAATTAAATTCTTTTAATCCTTTTGATGAGCAACATGATCTCCATTTTTAAGACATTAATGACAATAAACTCTATTAGCTTTACATAGTTTATTCACACAAGCTAATTCTAAAAACTCATGTTATTCTATTGGACATTTTATATGAAGCCCTTGGATCTTATTCATAGATATTAATTTTATTTCTAATTATATAAACTTAATTTAATATTTTATGTATTGATATTAACAGAATTATTTTTAAATTTAGGAGGGAAGAGCTATACTATTAGTTTTATTCAGTTACATTCTTTAAAACTTTATAAATCCAGAAAATAACAAACATAAAAGAACTTTATTAGAAAACAATCAAATTTAGCAGAGATCATCATCTATAATTAGAAAATATTTAAAAAAGGTTATAATCAAATTATTGTAATCTTTAATAGATATACATACAATAAATAAGATAACATAAAAAACATTATTAAATTATCAATTTCTTCAATAAACTTTTTGAATTTTTTAATAGAAATATTTGAGGATTGACTATCCCATGTGATTAAATATTCTCCATCATCACTTAATATCCCATAAACATATTAATCTGCAAATTCTATAGATTTTTATAATAAATAAATATAGTGAATATGCCTTATATTCTTTATGACAATTAGATGCTTACTGAAATTGTATTAAGATCGAAAAAGTAAATGACGATTTTAACCATCTCCAGCAGCATCAATATTTTTTGTTAATTAAAAATCTCCAGTCGGAATTTAAAAATAAAAAATCAATTCAATTTTACTTAATTAAAATAGTTTCATTAAAAGAAATAGGTTGATTTAATATATTACTAAATCACAACTTGTTAGTATTCTTGTATTATTTATTTTAATAAATTCTCTACTCTCTCTCCCTTACTATTCAAATACAAACATAAAATGAAAATAGCAGTTGAATAAAGAAATAATAAAATTATTTAAATCTGATATATTAAAGCTTTGTTAAATTTATATTTCTAATTGACTCAATTTAGATATATTTCGCTCCATTTTCATTTAAGAAAAATATTAAGAAATTAATACTATTTTTATCAATTTATAATTTTTTATCCTAATGGTTCTTTTTATTGTTCATCAAAAACGTAGTTAAATTTCTCTAAGACAAAAAATATTTATTCATAATTAAATAAAGAATAATATTATGTCTTCTAATCTTTAATCCATAAAATTAGCAGTCGGATTATGAGATATCTCCTAATGGGGAGTAGTTGTTAAGTGTTATGTAGCTTCCTTATATCAAAAAATTCCAAATCCTTTTTTTTTCAATGAAGCCATTAGAATACTAACAGCAATCTTCAGTGTTAGAGAAATTAAAGGTTTTTTTTAGTTTTAATTTAATAGAAGTCCATTCACAATTAGACTATTGAAAAAATAGTAGAATGCAATAAAATCATCATTCAAATTTTTTTTAATTAATTTTGGTTTTCCTTTTATATGCTCATAACTTACGCATAAGCAGAAAAATCGTTTTTAAAAGATATTTCAAACAAGAAAAATTTATAAACTTTACCATTTTTTATCTTTATTTACAGTATTTTAAAGAAAATATTTTTAGTCAGTTCTCACCCTTATAAAATGATATCACTATAATAAATCAAATAATCTTTATAATACATTAACTTTAATATGAAGTAGTTGAATCGAAAGTTCAGAAATATCTAAAACATATATTTTGCAGCAAAAAATACAGATTAATTGTTTTATAAAGAACATTTTTAATCTAAAATTAAAAAGGGCGAAATTTGACCATTTAAATTAAAAGCAAATACAAAAAAATTTCGAAAATTACTCAAAGGAAAGAAGATGTCTATCTTTATAAAATCAAAGAAATTCTAATAAACCTTAATTTAAATATATTATCTTGATTTGATCCCTATTTCTCATTTTTTATTGCAATTTAAGTTAGTATATAATGTTCATTTTTTTATTTATAATCATTTTTATGAAAAATACCCATCATTCTCTCATTTAAGGTTGATAAGAATAATCATACTACAAATTTTTGATGAAATTTCTATAAAAAATATAATGATGATTGCATAAATTAATTATTAAATTAGATATGAAATATTTTTCTTAATCTACATAATTTTAAGCATTAATATTATATTTAAGCATTGAATATAGAATTATGGTTCACCTTAATTTTAATTATTTTTAATATATATTAGTTTTGACGTCATCTCATTATTATTATTAATGAATAAAATCATAGCCATCTTGTTTGTAATATGTATTGCAAATGCAAGATAATATACATTATACAAATAATGTGATTCTGCTTGGGCTAATGATTAATTAGGAACAAGTGCAAATACAATATGCAGAGCAGGATGTTTAATTTCATCTATCGCCATGATGTTACATACTTATAGTGTAGTAACAGATGGTACAAC